TTCTAATCCTTAATTCGCAATCCTCAATCACCAATGCGTAGTGTGACATGGGCATAAGGCCGGAATCAGACTACGCATTGAAGATTGAGATCGAAGATTGAAGATTGAAATTTGACCAGTGAGGACAAAGGAATTTTAGCTCTTATTGTTTTTATTGGTCAAATTTCAATCTTTCAATCTTCAATCTCAATCTTTAATGCCTAGTCTGATTCCGGCCTAAGCTACGATAAGCACTGCAATGGAATAATGACGTAGATTTTATCGTCACTTCCTACGACTACTACGGTTGGAAAGATGTAGCAGTATAGTACAAAATAGTGAAAGACAAGGTAACCTGTTAGATGGTTAAAATAATAAACAATTTGAATCGATATTAAACCAGATGCTCATAAGAAGATGTTCAGGAAGCATTACAAGGTAAAAATGGAATTTTACACTTATCTATATGTTATGAAATACAGTTTACGTTAAAAATTACTTATTAGTTATGTATTGCGTGGTCTACAATGGGCAGTAGCAGTAGTGGATTAAAAAGTAGGCGTAAAAATCGATCAATCATGGTTGATTATTCTCCTTACATTCGATTATGATTGGTTGATTTCTACGCCAACTTCTTAATCCACTACTGCTACTGCCCATTGTAGACCACGCATTACTATCATTTCACTGTACACTGACAGTATATTTGCGAAAATGGAACGCTTATTTTAGCACACTAGAGTGACGTCATGCTGTCAGTACTGGCAGTAAGTTACAGAACGCAGCCCGGACCTATGGCTCTGTACATACACAAAACGCAGCAACGCTTTCCGTGCAGCAGAAGTAAACGTAATCAAGAGGTCTATCCGTGTTGTTTGAATCCTCCAAAATCTTTGCACTTAAAACAAGATGAATATGTATATTCGGCTGTTGAAAAAAGAGAAAGTGAACTACGAGGATCCTGAGTGCCCAAAAATACAAGCGACGCTAAGGCCGGAATCAGGCCGGAATCAGATTAGGCATTGAAGATTGAAATTGAAGATTGAAAGATTGAAATTTGACCAATCAAAACAATAAGAGCTAAAATTCTTTTGTCCTCACTGGTCAAATTTTAATCTTCAATCTTCAATTTCCACCTTCAATACGTAGTCTGATTCCGGCCTAACAGGTCTAATGAGTACAAAAAGTACGAATAAACCTAAGGATCTGTTTTAGTAAATTAGCTTATTTATTGACCCCTTTTAAACTCTGTCTACGGTGCTAGAATTCTGTCTGAGGTCTTGGATCCAAGAATGTGTAGCCTGTAGTTTTTACGGAAAAACTAGGCATTTTTCGGTCCGAGAATTCGGATCCCGAGTTCTAGCCATGAAGTCTAGCCGAGTTCTAGCCATGAAGTCTAGCCGAGTTCTAGCCGTGAAATGTCTGAATAAATGTTTTGTTTTTTCTGTAGGTACAATGGATATTGCAATTATTGAAAAAAATAGAAATCGTTATGTCATTTAGATGTATAAAAATAAACAAAATCTATCAAGTGACTCAGCGGGGACTTCAAGGAAAAACAATCGGACGAATGAAGTTCCTTTGTGATATAAAACTAGAAATCAAATACATAGATATCCAACTGTAGGTAAGCCACAAATGGCGTGATATTGAAAAAAACAATTCTTCAAACAATCATAATCGGAGAATTAGCTCCGTAGAGAATTTTTCTCGGCTTTTTTTTTGTCAAATCGCACGAACATATAGTTTTAATGATTTTAATTAATTACGAATGATACGTAAGAAGAGAATGTGCACTGGCGTGTCTACATCATTCCTACTTCAATGGCGCCACTTTTTTTTTCCTCTGTGCGTCACTCTGATTCGGATTCGGTTTGGACTCGCGTTGTTCTGACGTTCCGTATGTAAGCTACCGCGGGCCGTTCGTTCTCAAGTGACGTTATTTAACAATAAATAAACGGGGTCGTTTACGCGAAAAGTGTAAATATGGGCCGCTACAGGAGGTAAGTGACACCGACATCGGTATAC